TCTGCGCACGAGAGGCTGAGACCTTATGCTAACCAATTTTGATTTATTTTGTATGTTTTGGATGAAATAATGACTGGTATAAAATAAAATAAANTAAAGGTATGATGCTGTGTATCATTCTGATAAAGGACATCCTGTAGGTTTCCGACTACCCTTCACAGCACTCAAACAGCAAATGAACAGTACTATTTGATTTCCTTTGTGGACGCATGGCTCCAGGAATTTAAACTCATGTTGTCTGAATTTTGGAGGTCACTATCTCAGACAGCTTTCACTGACAGTGTTTGAATCAATAGATTAACTAATGAGTTAAACGGCATCATGCCGGTTCTGATTCTGATTAACCTGGCCTGGGAACAGTGGTGGAAACACTGAAAAAGCTGAAAGGTTGATTTTAATTAAATGTATTATGTCAACAGATTTCATATAACTGTAGTAGGTCACTTGAAAGCAATAATATTAAGTTTAAATAAACAATATGGGTTCAACCTAATACATTTAATTAAATTCAATGTTTCAATTTGCTCAGAGTGGTAACAAAGTACATTTACACAAGTACAATAGTTAAGTACAATTTTGAGGTACTGAGTATTCTCAGTTGCTACATTAAGACTTATAAATAATAAACTACAATTTATTTGACAGCTTTTAGTTGCTAGTTACTTTTTAGGTTTAGATTATTAGCTAATACAAAATATAAAGCAATTATTAAATAAAATAAAAAAGTATTTTTATTAAGTATTTTTTAAATTAAGTATTTCTACTGGGGTAGGTAAGTTTGTGAAAACGGCTCGAGAGATACACTTTTTGTCATATTCCATGGAATGCTCTTAACATCCCCATAGTAATGAATATCTTAAGTGCTTTGACAAAAAAATTCATAAAAAAAAGTCATCTGTGGAAGCCGTAGTAAAAAGCACGACGTAAAAGTAAAAAGCACGACCAATCATTTTAGCCGGCCCGGCTAAAGTAACTGGATGGCCTACCTGCCTGTCAGCTTTCCATCTGTGCACAAACTTATCTCGTGACCTCGTTGGTCATGTGCGCGTTCGTGTGTGTTGGAGTGGCTGATTTTTTCCAGCTGTGTATTTTCAAATTCTAGCGCACTCGAGCTGGTTTCTCCAAAATTACCTACCCCACCTTTAAGTAAAACGTCTGAGTACTTCTTCCAACGCTGGCTGGGAACGACTGGATAAACCCATCACTGCTGATCCTGAACTAAATCTAAGCAGCCAAAAACCTGCATGCACTGTCTGAAGCTGCAGCAACTCTGCAGATTACAGGCTGAATCAGCGGATATGAATGCGGTATTCACATGAAGTATAAGTCATTCTAGGACAAATATGTCTCTACGCGCAGCACATAATCTGATGAATGATGCAGAGAAGATTATACAACATATTTATGTGGAAGAGCATACTGAATTCAAATAGAGCTGTATTCATGTACAGTGCCTAAAACATGATTTGATCGTGTAAATCATGAAACAGTTTGTAAAAAATAGTTCTCATGAGAACATGCGATTTAGTCAGATATGATACGTGGACCAATTGGTGCTTCATTTGTTTCCAACCTGAAACAAAATCACTGATTATTCAACCTCTCAATTTATTCCATAATCCTAAATTAATATTTGATGTGTTTGTCTCTCATACACAGGCCCTGTGGCTGAATATGCACTCAGAGATATGGGTATTTTATTGAATAATATTTGATGTTCTACAGACTGAACAAAACAGTCTCTTTGCTGAATATTGGCGCTGTGCAATTTGAAATTGTAATTACACAGTGAAATGTAAAACAGCTGCACTGAGTCATCTTAAAAAACAGGTGTTTTTATTATGTCTCTAACCACTGCATATGTCCAACCTACTTTAAGGTTTATAATGCAGGATTAATACTATTAATATTAGTGAAGTTGTTGCAGTAATTGCGAGGGCTTAGATCTGCAGATTAACACTCGGCATACTACAGCGGGTCATTCAGTATATATAGGTCAAAGAGAAGCAGACTGATGGGGTCTGATGTAAAGAATGTGTTGAAGAATCTTGTTTGAGCAAAGAATCCTTCATTTTTAGCTCAACATAAGAGTCACATGCAGAATGGTATTTCCCAGACCTTGCTGGTTGTTTGTATGATTATAATATCTTAAAAGATCTTGAAGTGTTTAAGAAGTTAATCTGAGAGTTTAGCCTGCATGAATCACCAATTAATGCCCCAGTGATCCAATTTACCTTCCAAGATATAAAGCTGTGTAATAAAGAGGGCGGACTGTGTGAATGTAGCAGAGGTCATTTTTTTAATAAGTATTGGTCCCATGCATTATTGTTGGTGACATTCTACATGTAGTTTTCAACAGTTACTTTAGTTGTTCCACCTTCCGCCATTTTTTCTACTTACTGCAAAGAACTCACTTTGATAATCTTTGGTAACTGGGGAAAACCAACTCTTCCTGTATTGGTTTACGCACTCAGCTCTGTAACACTGTTGGCACACAAGTGCGTAAACTCAATGCTAACATGCTAACACACAATGACAATGTAAGCAGCATGGTAATGTTCATTATGATGTTTACTATGTTCATCATCTTAGTTTACCGTGTTAGCATGCTAACATTTCAAGCACTAAGGACCAAGTACAGCTGCTGTGAATGAATGAAGTCATTGGTGATAAACCAACAATTCATACTAATAGATATTTCAGTGGGGCCAGACTGACTCTTCATCCATAGAGCCACAACATTAGCATGGTCATTTCTTCTTATGTACACAGATATTTGAAGGGTGAACACTTTTTTAAATGCATTAATGAGCCTCACTTTTGCACTGCCACAAAACTCACTATAGCACCAAATGTGGATTAATCCGCCGACAAGTGCACTATCTCTTCCTTCTTACGTTCTTTACTTCTAAGTACTTTAGTTCTTTGCTTCACTAAACTTTAAAAAGACTATGTGATTGTAACCTAATATTTATGTAGTCTGTATGAACCTATGGGCTTACAGCTAAGTACCACAGACATTGTAGGAAAGCTAGAAAATGTAGACTAACTCAATGTTTTTGTTTAGTTTTTTCAAAACTGTTTTGTTTTTCCCGCTAGTGCTTCCATCAGTTGAACACAAGTCAACGTTTGTCAGTAATAACACAGTGGTGGAACCACTTTTACCTTTAAAAAAATGTGTTCAATCAAAAATAGGTTACATTGTTATAGATTTTACTAAAACACAGTACAACATTAAAATGCTGTAATTGAATACACGAGTGATTATAATCCAACAATATAGGTAGTTACATTTTGTGATAATAATTCTAAAGTTTTATTTTGAAAGCATGACATGAACCTGTAAAGGAGTATATTCATATTGCAAATGTTACTTAAATAAATATCTCAATACTTTGTCCAACACTGAATGATATCTTCATTTCAAAATATCTCACAATATTTCTATTGAACAATAAATAACAAATCCCTTATCCAGTATTCCAGTTAATGACATAAAGTCAAGAGATAATCAATTATCATCTACTATGAAAATACACTTTTATCTTTCATAATAAACTGACTGTACAGAAACTTCTAGCATCCTGCGCGGTTGCTCATCAGCTCTCACCTGATAGGCCACCATGTTGAGGAAGTAGTTGTAGACGCCGCTGCGATTCATCCCCTGAGACGCCGACATTGTGCCACTAAACTGCTTTTCATCGGCCACTCTACATTTGGCCATCAACTTCCAGCACCAACAGGTTTTTGTTTTCTCAAGAGTGACTACAAAGAAGATGGCATCCTCAAAGAGGCCGGATCACAACTTCTCACAGGCCTGACGATGGAAGTAAAAAGTAAAAAGAGCCCAGCAGGTTGCCTCACATACTCCTTATTCTGGATTAGCAGTAAATCTATTCCGGCCGGGCTCCCTGCGGCCGAAAGCCTCAGCATGAGCACCAAGTCCGGCTGCTCTCAGTCCAGCCTCACAGGGGAAGAAGTTGTTTTTTTGCCCATATCCTGCGTGCTTTGGCTCTGCGGCTGTGCTGGGTGCTGCCAGAAAAGAGGGAGAGGTGGTGGTGAATGCCCGCTGCCTTCCCCCATCCTACCCGGTCAGATTAGGCAAAGAGTGTGTGAGGAGGAGGAGGAGGAGGAGGAGGAGGAGGAGGAGGTAGACAGGGACCATGTGTCAACCCATATGTCCCTCCCTTCCCTTCCCCCAGCGCCATACAAACCCCACTGTACACCGGGATTGGGCGATACTCCTGTTTAATCCAGATTTACAATATTAAACAATTAACCCTGTGTGATTTCTAGATCTGACACCTCAAAGCCCCCTAACTAAAGACTCCCACCCAACACACGCACGCACGCACGCACGCACGCACGCACGCACGCACACACACACACACACACACACACACACACACACACACACACACACACACACACACACACACACACACACAGAGACCTCATCCCAGTCTGTGTGTCACTCAAACAAAGGGTCCATAATCCAAACAAGAGTCATCATGACAGCATTACGACAGAAACAGTGAGGTGGGTCAGCCTGGAGGTCTGTGATGGAATCCACTAAAGCAGGGTGCATTAGTGGATGTTCTCACAGCTTGATGGTAGGGTCCAATAAGGCAACAGGTAGATAATAAAGATTAAGTTCGACCAACTATTTTAGTTTCAAATGATTTGCTCTTTTAATGCACTATTCAAAGTGTGTTTCATTTAGATTTAGAGGTTCACTGTTTTGTAATTAAAGGAAATAATAAACACATTAAATGCAGTATTGGAGAATGTCTTTGACATTTGTCTGAAAACACTGAATGACTTCCTTATTCTTCTGAAAAAATATATAATAGTTGGTCATGTAAAAGCAGTTTTGAGACTGTTTATTGTTATTCATAAAACTGAAGTTGTGTTCTGAATGGCACAGCAGCAGGGAAATGACATGATGTGTTGGTAGCTGTTGAAAAGCTCTGAGTGCTCGTGGGAGAGAGTCAGATTAGATTTGGGTTAGTCTGTGCAGGGCGGAGCGTCGGGATAATCCCGTCATTGTCCATAGATGACCTTCAGCGGCACAGACGTCCTGTTGGTATCCCTCTCTAAAACGTCACAGACCAAGAGACTGATTGACCAATCAAACTGCATCTCAACTCTTACACACTTGCTCCTACCTGACCTGCTGTGTGTGCCAGATGAAACACAGGTGAACAGATCTACAAACAATGGTAACAATAGCTGTTCATTCTTTGAATATTAGATCACTAAACTGACCTCTCAAAATATAGTTGTTGTCATGAACAGTCGAGGTAATACACATTTAGAAAGATAAAAACAGTAGAACTACACAAAGTAAAAGTTTTGCAAGATTTACAAAATATAAGCATGGAAATGTATTTAAAGTACCAAAAGATACACTAATCGTTGATATAGCAGTATTATTCATCTGATATTACTGTATTAAGAATATTGATGCATTCATGTGTTCATCGCTTTAATGTTGCAGCTTATGTTTACTACTTTAAATTGGAACTTACATCTCAGGGATCATTAAAGTTGTATTCTAACATATTATTAGTCAAACTAAATTAATTTGGTGTTTATATTGTGTGTTATTTATATGAATCTGCAAAGTAATGAAAAGATGAAGTGGAAATGGAGCGTGAAAGTACAGTATGTGATTATCTGTGTTTTTCCACAAGTGGATACAAGTTTACAAGTATTTATCTATATTATTTTATTGATATTTAGATAATATTATGAAAAAAATGCGTATCAAAGGGAACATTTGTTGAGATCAGTCAAATCCCCTAATGAATACCGATCACTACAAATAATGTGGATTGAGTTGTTTACATGAATTTCGGAAGAAGCAGCCTGTGCCAAAAACCTGCTAAGTGTCTAAAAGAGAGACACAGTTACTTTCTAGGAACACAGTGTAACAACAAACATGAGGTTGAATTAGAGGAAAAGTCCGTTCAGGATCAGACTCTAAGTAGCTTGGCCTTACAAACCCAGTGAGGGATGTCCTCAGAGCACATGGACTACAACAGTGGTAGTCGTAGCTTGAAGGCCACAACTCATAACACCTCTAGCTAGTGCTCAAAGCATCACCTTGAAAAGCTTTTACCTCTAAGCTTGGATTTAATGAGAATCTGTGATCTATTTTGATGAGTCTGGAGCAACTGTCACATATCTTGAAAACTACATTTCAACACTTGAAATACTGTGAGGGTCTCAGAATAGCGGAGATCTTTGCTTCAATATGTTCAAAACTTTTTTTTCAAAATGAAAAGAAATGTCTAAGATTATAAATAGTGAAACATTAACTATAAAATATTTCTAGTGTGAACCAAAATATAATACTAAATATTATACAAGTGTTTTTTCTTAACTAAAATGACAAAAATGGTATAAAAACACACATTATTCTAATACGGGTCCTTTTTGACCCACTTGTGGAAGAGTGTAGGGTCCAGTCACTCGGGCATCTAAGGGTTATGGCCTTTAAACCCAGACATACACTCATCCTTTGCCTTTCAGGGAAACCACTGAATATCTCTAACCCTGAGTTTGTTAGTGTTCCTCTGAGCTCCCATCTCCTCTACTCCTCCCTCTGTCCCTTCTAAAAACGGATGTGCTTCTGTTTGCTATCTTATTCTCTTTTCAGGTCTTCATATTGAAGCGGATATGTGTGTAGGTCATCCTTGTTTAACATTCATTTTATAGTTATGGTTTATTTTGTACACAAAACATACTGTATATTTCATATCTGTCCAGGGAGAGGGATCCCTTTCAGTGATTCTTCCATTTATTCAATGTTAAAGTTTATTTTTGTTCGTTTTTTCTTAACCAAATGCAGGGTCTATAAGGACAGAAGGTGTTGTAAAGATTGTTAGGCTATGATGTGTGATATTGGACTAAATAAGAACATTTGCTTTAAAAAGTCAAATAAGAGCTAAACAAAACATGTTCCTGATAAGGAATTCAGATATCATGTCTTCCTCCAGAACAAATATTGATAACCCCACCAGAAATTAACATTATGCGACAAATCTTAGAACTAAAAACATCCACAAATTTAAAAATAAATACTATCCTTGATGTCACTTTGGACTACTCCTTCCAACAGGAGCGGGTGTAAAGCAGTGATTCCCTGTGATAAACACGTGTTGCTCCAATGGCATTCCTGGGGGCCCCTTTCACTCTCAGATAATTACCGCTGCCTAGTGGACGAGGAGGTCGTGCCAAAGAGGACAAACACAAGCAAATGAGCGGATGCAAATGTCCGCTAGAGTGAAAGTGCTCAATCTTTCAATAGGCTTGTGCAATAACTGCTGGCTGAAATCCAAGCTTGTTTACAAAAAATTACTCATTCATTATTCATTTCTTTCCGAGCATAACAATGGGGTAACGGTTTGTGGCAGCATTGTCTTTTTCACCTGTTTTAGATAGGTGAGTACAAATCTGGGTGTTGTAAATTAAGTACCTGCAAAAAGAGTTGTCCATCCCATAGAAACACAATGCACCCATTCATAATGTGGCATGAATGGATGCACAAGGAATTAGACTGAGGAGAAATGATTAGAAGAGTCAGCATCTGTACCACATTCTTTAACTCACATATAAATGGCTCGACTTTGGTGAAAAGTAAAAAGAAGCTGATGTTTGATTTTCTTTTTTGGGGTGGTTATCATTGATTTATATTACATGGCCAAAACTATACAACCACTCCTTCATAGTTTGTGTTTTAGGCTGTTGAGGTGAAATAAAGGTGTTCCTCTCTGATAGATCAAGTAGCTGAAGAAGTATTTTAATGAGTAGTATATAATAAGGAACGAATGCTTTATAACACTTTAATATATTTGTAAACACTGTGTATTTTTCAATGCATTTGTCCATTATGCCAGCTTTGACCACCCATTAGAGGTTGGCTGGTGTATAATTATAGGAACAACACAATAAATACATTAAAATTTAGTTTCAATCATATAAAGAATGTCTCCATAGAATTGCTGCTTACAACTACATTATGCTGTAGTGTGAAAACTGCACTACATGTTAAAGTATAGATGTTGATATCTTACATATTGGGGTGAAAGGCAACGCTCCTTTTCTTTTTCAAAATAAAAGACCACTTGAGATAAACCATTTCATTGCAAACATTTGTTGTGTGATTGTCCTTGTTAACGGTTCCTTATTTTGTCTTCATATAGAAACACCTGTCATCTTAGGACCATGCTGCAGAGTCTCACCTGAGTACGCAGCCAGTGTCTCGACATCACGTCCCCCAGGCCTGAGCAATAATCAATATCGGAAAACAGTCAGACAGCCATCAGTCATACAGCAGGATGAAGGAGTTGGCATGGCAACAGCGATGTCTCTCCCACCCCGGTGCCATTCCTTTGACTCTTGTTGTATCACTTTGTGCATCTCCTTAAACTAATGCAGTGTTTTGGTGCTTCTCATGAACAGGTTTGCCTTTCCTTTAATCTGATTATTGGTAGGTGGACTGAGAAAAGCTCAGAGCTGAAGAAGTCTCCAGAGACGGAAAACCTGTTGCAGTATGGTTGAAGGGCTATTTGTATTAAAGCACATGTAAACCTCTTATAACAGACAGGAATAGAACCACCGTGAGCACAGATGACATAGTGATTTGGTAATCCAGATATTTAAAATGTATGCATTATCCAGCTATCTTCTTCTTATCTCTCAGATAATAACAAGAGAATAGACCGATCAGATATTATAATATATGGTCTTAATCCTGCTAATCAAAATGTAATTTAAAAAAAAAATGAAGGTATTCACTTAAAGGAAAACACAGACAAAGCAGAGTATTTTTTTTAAAGTAATTCACCTTTCAACATGTTTTTTGATGTGGAGCAAAGATTATTATGAACTTCTTTAAACACTTCTCCTGAAAAGAATACTATTGTTCATAGATATATAAACAATTTGGATGTACCGGAATATTCAGTACATTCACCTGCAAACACCTTTGCTGTATT